GCTGAGTTTTTGTAAAAGCCCGAAGTGCTGGTTAATATAAACAGTGCATTTTAATCCTATAAAAAAAGATATTTACCCCGCGATACTTGTCCGTATATTGCATAATTGCTATTTTAACTTGCTCCACAGTATTTAGAATGTGGTTTCTTTGGAGTCACCCCTTTTTATCATTTCAAATCGGAGGGACACTGATTGTATAACTTATGGTTAGCGCATACCACCAGTTTTTTTACGACACACAGTATTTGCACCTGTAAAAGTTAATTTGTTTCCTGCTCTTTTGGCGAAGGGTTGCAACTTTTACTTCCCTGATGGCCATGTTAATTGAGTGCGCGCTTCGGTTATTAGGGTATATCAGTTTTGGCCAATTGGTCAATGGTTCTCCGCGACTTGTGGCAAGTTGTGAGTGGAAGTTGCTCTGTTTTGCGGACGTTGTGGCCGCTGCGGCTGGTGATGTTGATGTTGATGTTGCTGGCGCTGCAGTCGCCGTCTCAGTTAGCGCCAAGATTTATGTGATCCTTAAGATTTATTGGTTTACGGCATTGTTGTTGCAATAAAAAACAACAACATTCATAAATTATCATTAAACGTTTAAATGTGACGCAGCAGCTCTGGGGGCACGCCGCACGCCGCATGCCGCATGCTGCATGCAGCATGTTTTGCTAGTTGCTAGTTGCTGTTTGCTGGTTGCAAGCTCAGTTCGGTTCGGTTCTGGTCGAGAAGAAAGAGACTTTTGCTATCTTTATAATGAGCCTAATGACATATTTATTTGTTGCTGCTGTTGCCACAATCGCTCAGCTCAGCTTGTTGCATGCAATTTCTTTTGGTTGCAGTCTGGCGTCTAGACTCCAGACTCTAGACACATGGCGCACCAGAGGTGACAGCTGATTGTCATTGTTGGCATATTAAAACAGGCTCACCGTCTGCACGCGCCGCCAGCGCTGGGCTGGGTTTTCAGTTTTGGGCCCACTTGCAGTATGTGGCATGTATGCGGCATGGCCCAGAAGGCCTCGACCCAGCCAAGACGGCTAAACGGCGACAGCCACTGACAATTGACACTCTTGGCCGAGTCCCACTCCTGGCTTTTACGCTCCCCAATCGCCAGTTGAGCTGCAATCGCAGCAACCCATTTCGTATTCCATAGGTGCCTCACAAGGGGCAGGGACTTCGCCTTTGGTGGGGGCATGAGAAATGGGCCTGAAAGTGCAACTGGCAAGGAGGGAGGCGAGCTACGATCTAGGATCTTGGAAGAAAAATGGGCCTATAAATGGGCTTAAAGGTCTAGGTACACACTATACATAAAACTACAATTGCAAGGCAAGCTAACAGAGGCTGACGGCTTTGAGGTGTTGGGAAGTGTATTTAAAAGATGGTTTTATTGCATTAAATACAAAACGAATTCAAAGTTCCAGTCTAAACTACCAAAAGTTTCTACAAAGTTCGAAGTTCGAAGTAGTACATTACATGCGTCTTGTTATTAATAATAAATATACAATCACTTTTATCTTATTTCTCAGTTAAGTTTAAGTAAACAAGAATTTGAAATACACTATTAAAAATGCATAAAAATGTATCTGCCTTTGAAGTTTCGCGCATAGCGATTTTATCAGTAGGAACCTCCATACAGTGACCGCAAAAGCAACAATAAATATAAACATAATATCCGTAATTACAACACCGTATGTACAGGATCATAAAAGTAGTTGGTGCCACCTTAAATACCCCTGTTGCACACCGCCCCCTTCCAGCAGCCGACGCCTCTGTCCCTGCCTGTGAGCTCCATTGCCTCCATGGCCAGAGATTCACTCGCGGCGCGGTCTTAGCCAGGCCATGGCCAATGGCCAATGGCCAATACCAAATGCCCAACGGCCCGTACCCACAACAAAAGTGCGTTAATAGCCAAGACACACATGGCAATGTGCACCACCCCACCGCCCCCAACGAAATAGGGGTTTTAGTGAGAGGAGTCTTCTGGGGCCGGACAAGCAGCTAACGCGCCTTTTACAAATTTTTATTGAAAAATATTAAATTCTCATTAAGGCAGGAGAGGTCCGAGCAGGTTCCCAATCCCGTCCAGGCAGCATCTATATGTATACACTCGCATATAGCCATATAGCCACGTTCGCTGGAAGTTTTCTGCTGTTTTTCCTGAACGAACCCGAACCGAAGTTGGCGCGCGCTCACATGCGCCGATAGACTCGCTTAGATAAAAGATGATTTATGGGTTTTATGGTGTGATGGGAATTTTAATTTCCAGCATTTTTGCTTAACAAAATTAAACATGGGACTGCGAGCGACAGCCAGATAGAAGCGATACCAGCGCCAAGAAATGGGCGCCAGGAGAAATGGCGAGGTGGTCGGCGGAAGAAAGCCAAGCGAAGACAGACGCAAACGGTTATTTGCCTGTATTTGGGAACCGGGCAATTGTCAAATGAGGCGACCTCCTCCAGACGATTCCATTTTTAATTGAGCCAAAGCGCACAGCATGTACCGCCAGCCGGCAACTGGCAACTTGCAACCAGCAACCAGCAACCAGCAACTTGCAACTTGCGACTGCTGCGACGGGCAACTGTCCATTATGCTCACTCACCTGTAAAATAAATGGCAAAACTGCCAAACACTTTGGCCAACTGACAACTGCTGCCCCGGCATCATCGTTCCAATTTAACGGCGGGAGGGCGGGGGGTTCTGAAGGGGCACGGTGGCTCAAGGGGGGCCCAAAAGGGGGGCACCCACTGCTGTGATCCGAGGTCTCGCGGCCCGTTCGTTTACCGTTAGGTGTCAAAGATTTCATGCCCCATGTCGCAAACTAACGACACACAATCGATCACAAATCAAACGGACAGAAGCGGCATCAGCAGCAGCAGCAGCAGCAGCCGCAGCAGCCGCAGCAACCCGCAGTTGCCGCCGTTGCGACAGTCATCCAAATCCAAATGTGTCTCAAAAATCAGGCCGCGGCCAATGCAAAGCCGTTTCATAAATTGCACATGACCTGACGACCAGCAGCTCCAAACAGCCACTGCTCCAGCTCCATCTCCAGCTCCATCTCCAGCTCCAGCTCCATCTCCTCCTGCCACTCCAAACGGCATCTGCAGCAGCCAAAAGGCAGCAGAAAGGCATAACAATAAATTAAAATTGGATGTCGATGGCTAGCTGCACCGGAAATATTTGTTGATCTGTTCAGAGAAAGCCCATAAGCAAAAATACTATAATATTTTCATATGCATTGCAAAATATTGATATGACTGATATGTTTATAGATGAAATATGCATGTAGTTTTTGCGTGCAATGCCGTAATAGTTTTTATCAGTTCTGCTTACAAATTATTCGCTGTGTAAAGGTGCATGTGGATGTGGATGCGAAGTTAAACTCAAAAAGCTGCAAACTGAAAATCCCCAACTTTAAGACTCCTTCAATTGCTGGCCGGGCGATTTGGTTATTGGAGCGCTTTCTGCCTGATGGACAGCTGCCGACAGCCTGATCCACACATACTCGAATGTGGATCCCGCTCCCAGATGGACTGAACCATTCCCATTCCCATTCCCATACCCATCCCCATCCTCCTCCGGTTGATGGACAGCGGCTGGTGGCTGCATCGCAAAGCGACTTTATTGGTTTTTAATGAGCAGCGCTGCGATTTGAATGCTTATCTAAATGTATTCGGTTGATATTTGTGCACTGGGTGGCATGGGGTATTTGCGCTATGACCAAATCATGGATAATGGCCCATCAAATATTGGCTAATCATTATGTTTTTATGGCACCGGATAATTGATAATCGAAACTGCAAAATAGTAACCAAGTGGCTGCTTGCACAACATAAATATGAATGTAAATGTGTACTGATTTATTACTTACCTGCCTGCTGGACCAACTTCGCATTGTTTCATTACCGCTTTTCCCATGGGTAAATCCCCAGTACCACGGCACCAAAGAGTTGACCAATGGCAGCTCCAGGGCATTTGTGGCGTCGATCAGTGTTAATTAAGGCACCTTCTCACTTTATTTACTTTTACTCATTTGCATATGCGTGTGGGTCATTAAACCTGACCTCCCCGGCCCACCAGTCGCTGCCATCCATCCAATCCGAGCCCATCCAATCCTCCAGCATCGCATCGGCGCTAGTCGCCGCAATATTGACCTGACCCAAGGCATATTAATTAACCCAAAAAACCGGTCTGTTATATTTGTCTAACCTTTATGCTAAACGCGGTGACGGCACCACCACCACCACCAAGAGCTGGAAATTAAACGGCAGTAGCAGTCGTAGTAGTCGCTACTGTCGGGTGCCTTGTATTCGGTTATTAATTTACCAATAAATTGCCATGGCGTATGCGTAATATTTCACAATTGTGCCTTAATGACCGAGAGCGTTATTCATGCACTGATTTCCGCTGCAGGTGTCATCCACCATCGAAGCCATCTAGCCAACCAGTTATGCGTATTAGCCAGGCCCAAGATCCAGCTTCCATGGCTCCACAGCTCCACAGCTCCAGAGCTCCGGAGCTCCAAAGCTCCGGCTTCTCGCATTGAAATTACAAATGACGAGAAATTTGTCATCTTTATTATTGCAAACAACGCGCAGTCGTACGTTGCAAAGTTGCAAAAGACGACAAACGACGACAATGCTCCCCTGGACAATTGCAATTGGCGGGGAGTGCGTGCGCCGTGCCACAAAGCACAGCAAAAGCATGGCAAAAGCATAGCAATAGCATAGCAAAAGCAAGAGCAAAAGGCGGCCGGCAGTCGCTGACAACTTGCCACACATCTCCAGCGGTGGGGCACGGGGGCATGGGGAACCCAGGGGCACACTTGTGGGTTAACCGCAGCCCCATTGTGCGCCAATTGATTTTTCATTCAAATGAAAATGCTCGCCGGACTTGGACGCGGAGTGCGGATTTGGCCAGCTATCCCGTAATGAGCACGGCCAAGGCCTCGTTTGGTACAAAAAAGTATTCGCTTTTCTTTTATTTCTCAAAAAATAATACAATTTGTTTGCTTTTGTGTGTATGTTGTTGGTCTATGAGTGTGCTAAAATCTATGATGACAGTTGGTATGAGGCAAATTGCTATTGGGGTTCGCCAGGGAGTACAGTGCGTTGCGTGGCTATAAGGCAGCTTAAAGCGTATATCTAGATATCTTTACTTGGTGAACAAATATACTTATAGGATTAACAAGAGAAGAAATTAAAATTAATATCTTAATTTAAAGAAGTATGTTATAGAATTTAAGGCACCTAAGGTTCTGAATACAGCTTCTTTTTTTTATTGGAAATCGATGTTATGGTATCTTTAGGTGTCAAACTATCAATGTTGTTTTAGAAGACGCTATCAAACACTTCCCTTATCGATCCCCTTTAAGTAAAAATCCTCATTAACTATCCACCATATGCGTATAGTACAAAATGATGAAAATACCCTGCAGATGAGAGTATTTCTATATATAAATATTGCTTTGCTTTTCGGGTTGTTTTGCCTCTTCTGTTGTTTTTCTGTATACAATTTTCTACTTAATAACCAATAAAAATTTCATCTAAAATTAGTTAAATTTCATCTTACCGATCTAGGGGCTGTATATGTTTATCTAGAACTATGTACACGCGAGTTGCTAGCACCAATCCAAAACTATCCGTAGTATGTATATATTTACCTATGCAGTTAGGTCTATGTACGCGTATAGTAGGTAAAAATCCACTTTGTTAACTTGGCTTCTGAAGGCAATTGTCTCTGGGCTTAAAATGTGAAAAATTTTACAAATCTTTCCGCCACAAAACTATAGTCTAAGCTACGTCTAAGTTGGGCTTTGAGCCCTCTTAAGGTCTAAATTGAGCTACTTAGGCGACATGGAATATCTGGTCTCAGTGAATGATCAATGGAAGTGATTCGAGTGCGTATAAATAGTCAAGAGCTGCTCCACGACAGCATCTCAGATGAGTATTCTCGGATGTGAGTAGTTCGTATGTATGGCCAGATAGGCAGTAGCAAATCCTCAGTGGCGGCGCATGTGCAGCGACAGGTGGTCCGAGCGGCTGAAGCTCCGGGTGCACAGCTGGCAGCGGAAGGGCTTCACGCCCGTGTGCTTCCGGTAGTGGCGGGTCAGCTCATCCGATCGGGCGAAGCGCCAGATGCAGCCCTCCCACGTGCACACGTACGGCTTCTCACCTGGCGGAGATTGGGAGGAGTTCATTGGGTTAGTTAATTGCCTACCGTTAAAGTGCAAGTGCTGAATGTGTCAAACTGAAACTCACCTGTATGCGTTCGCTTGTGCGCCTTGAGGTGCGAACTCTTGGTGTACACCTTGTCGCATCCTTCGGTGTCGCACTTGTGCACCTTGCGGTTCTTGGAGAGATCATTGTAGCCGCCGTTGGCCATCGAATCGGAGGAGCTGGTGAATCCGAAGGCGGAGCTGCCGCCGCCAAAGTTAATCCCACTGAAGCTGCTGCTATCCTTGCGCGTTGCACCCCGGGCCATGCCCCCGAAGGCGGGATTTAGGGCGGCGTGTGGCGAGGCCGATGCGGCGTAGCTCTTCCAGCTGGTCGAGGAGTTGGAGGTCAGGGGCTTGCCGGAGCCGCCAGTGGGCGAGGTCTTGCGCGACGTCTGGCCATCTCCTCCGGCAAACTTGTAGGGATTCTTGAACAGGCTCAGCAGCGAGAACTTGCTCTCGTAGTCCTGCATGCTGTTCGCCGCGGATCCTGTGCCGCCGCCGCCGCCGCTGCTGCTGCCGTTGTTGTAGCTGCAGCTGTTGTTGTTGTCCTCCTGCTTGACGCTGACACTTCCGCCGCCGTTACCACTGCCGCTTCCGTTGATCCGTCGATAGGTGAAAAAGAATGGCGAGGCCGCGAAGAACGGCGAGAATGGCAACTTGGACACTCCGGAGGAGGCATACAGTTGTTGCTGCTGCTGGGCAGCAAAGGCCCCCAACGACGAGGATCCAGCTGAGCCTGCTCCAAAGCCCGAGGACGAGGACGAGCCGGAGGATCCACCCGGCTTGCCATTGCTATAGCCAACTGCCTTGTTGGCCGACGAGAATTTGTAGCTGCTGCTGCTGCTGCTCCCATGCGAAGTGCTCGCTGCGTGGCGAAAAATGGGGGGAAAACGGAGTTAGAGTGGTTGAGAAAACCCATTGAGATTCGGTGAACAAAATGGCCAAATGGCGGGGCCGACTTTATGGCCGCCAATGCCTAATGAGCCTCGTAAATGAACCGCAACTGAGCCAAGCTACCAACCAAAAGACAAGGCAGGCTAACCAACTTAATAAGCCGAACATCAAGATACCCTAGCAACGTCTTTTGGCTACTATGTGGAATGCCGGAATAATGTTACTTTCTGCAAATATATAGATTGTGTAGATTTTGGTGATTGCCAGATATCTTGTTAGGCAACAAATATTTGCGTATTCTGATAATTATAGAAACCTAGCTGTGAAACCAAGCCAGAATGCAGGACATGCCAGTTGAAGAGCAGGTAAAGGGAACCAGCTGGCCGGGAACACTTTGGCCTGTCAGTTGGGAGTCTTTACACAATTTCCTAATTTCGTTCGACCGCCTCATTGCATCAAAAACGTTTGCATGTCGCGTATTTTATGGCCGGCAGACAGCGGCGACGGACGGACGGACGGAGGCTCCAAGAGTCGAAGTAGAAGTTGCAGATGGAGATGGGGATGGAGATGGAGACGAGTGTCCAAGAGGCGGATTCCGACTCAGACGGACAACGAATCCGTGCAGTCGTGATCCATTTAACCTGTACTATGCGCTCCAGACGACGACTGCTGCCACTTTCGGCTGCCAGTTGCAGTTGCATTTGCAGTTCCAGTTGCAGTTGCAGTTGGGACAAGTGTGTCGATTTTGGCGCCCGCGACATCAACATCAATTGCCGCCAAACTGCAGCTGCTGCTGCTGCTGCCGTCGGTCCCCAAATGCCCCACCTGCCCCTCAGCCTGAAGGGTGCTCCACGCGGCTGAGCAAACCGAAATCTCGCAGTAGTTTGCCCAGGCTTGCCACTCCACTTGGCCACTTGTCGCGACTCCAGATTTTCGAGGCTTCCTTCCTAACTGAACTATTTGAACTAGGGGTTTTCAGTTGCCTACCTCGCATTGAAAATAAAGTCATGTGCTGCAATATTGCAGAATTTTTGTTACCTATTCAAATGCTTATTAATTTCATAGATTTATTATGTAACAAAACTGTGAAGTTAGTGTGAGTGCTGACAAATCACCGCACTAGTTAGCCTTTAACAGAAAGTTTGACAAATTAAAACCCAAGTACAGGCTGAAAAAGTATTTAAGGCTTATTCCCGTTGCCCCAAGTCACCATCCGATTTTTTTGGCCCGCTAAGCACATTCAATTTTCACTCTTCTCGGCGTTGCAGCTCGTTTGTCAGTGGCCAAAACAAAAGGCAGGCGAAAGGGGATCGAGGCGATCTGTACAAGTGACCCAGGCTTAAGTGCTTTGTCAAGCCTGCAACTCCACATGACCGAGGGCCACATGGCCAACAACAGAAACAACAGCAACAACAGCGACCAGACCATCCGAACCGGGCCTAAACTGACCGGCCAAGCAGAGAATGGGGTCCGTTGGTCCGTTGGTCCGCTGGTCCGCTGGTTTCTTGGCCTCAAGTGCCTCAAGTGCGTTTGCGACTGTCTACACATGTGTGCCCTGGCTTGATGCATTTGTAATTTCCATGCCAGCGAGCGTTTTGTTTCACCAGCACCGGGTTACAGTGCCCAAGGTAGGAGACTCACAGTAGGACTTGCCTAAGTGAAACGGCCCCTTTTGTTGTCCCATGAGCGCAGAAGTCATAAAATCACATCTAAAAGGTGGTTAAAAGCAAGAAGTTGTATGAGCAAGTGAGTCCTTTGTCCTTTTGCACTTCTTTATGGGTTTTTAAAACTTAATCATCTCGAGGACTGCCATCCCTCGAAGAAATTTAGGTCTTAGAAATTGGATCTTAAGCTAGGTAATAGTGTTGCCACTGATACTAGATGCATTGTGTCCATTGTAGCCCGCAACTTGGACACAGGGAGGCACTGCGCCAGAAGTAGGACTGTAGTTTCGAGGGAGGCAGGTAGAGTGGCCCCGGGTTGAGGTCCGTTAGCCCAGGCAGGCGCGTTATTAAAATTGATGGCATTTAATTGAACTGGCCATCAACGTCAGCCCACAGTGCTGTTTGCTGTTGGTGTTGCTGTTGCATTTGCAGTTTCTGTGCCTTTTCCGCTTGCCCCATTTGCAATTGCTGGAAAGGGAAGTTCAGTAGTAGTTGCGGCAGTGAAGATTTCTGAGAGAAGGGAACTGGATGCTACGGTGGCGTATGCTAATGCGCATTATGTGCCAACTCGCCGGCTGTCATATATTTCTCGTCTCCCAAATGGCCATTCTCCTGTCCAATCGCGGGTATACCATGTATCCGAATGTGTGTGTGTGTAATCACCGCTTTTACCGAAATGCACACGCTGACTTCATATTTCTGCCAATTTGGCTTTGGCAACTGGGAACATTCGGCGGGCAGCAGGCAAGAGGCCACAAACAGCTAACTCCAAAACACCAAAGCACCGGGCGACCCAGAGATTTGAAATCACACTTGTGCCTATTGCCAAAGTGGTGCAATAAAAAAAGTGAATGTTGCCCCCAAGTGGCACCCGGCAGATCCGATCCGATGCGATGCGATGCGATGGGATCCAAGGCGATGCGATGCGATGCTATATAGACAGGCTCCTCCATCTCGGGCTCCTTTGGCGCGTCTTCAAATGGTCGTCGCTGTGGCCATAAACTGCTCATTTGACTTAGCTAGATTTACGTTGAGCAGCCGGTAACCCCCATCTCTGCCGCTCCATCCACCCTCCCCTCTTACCCCTCCTACCCCTTCGGCCCCGCCCCCTTTCGCCGCCCCCCGTTAGTGTGCGTAGTCGAACGTGCCGCCCCAGCCGCAGTCGGCGATAATTATGATGAGGCCAGATCGTCCCCAGACCAAGCCAAGAAAAGCAGTCATCGCCGGAGAGTGGGAACCGTGGTGGAAAGTAAGTGGTTAAGGGAACTAGCCGACTAAACGATCTTTTCTCAGAACTAGGGGTAACTAATTAACCAGTACGAAACTTTATTAAACGAGCGCTGAGATAATGTGAACACATTATTATTTCTGCCACCGTCAACAAATTGCAGTAACTCTAATTTCTCATCACCACCACAGGATATATAAAAGATCGTATCTGCTAATCACAAAAGCTATATGTGTCTCTTTGCAATAGTTTGATAGGAAAAATGGTGCTAATTAAACATTGTGAGTCAGAAACTAAGATTTAAGAATTAGGAATTAAGAAAAATATTTCTTTATATGTTCCATATCTTTCAGAACCTTTTTCCATTTCTGCAACTAGACCCACTGTGCCAGCGTGTGCGGTGTTTGGTGTTTGGTGTGTGTGCAGTGTGCAATGCGGATCTCGCACCAAATGCGACTGCAAGAGCTGCAAGTTTAGAAATGAGGAGCGTCGGGGAGAGAGAAAAACCCAGGCGAACAATAAATTACAAAAACAGTTGATAGGGTTTAATGTGCACTTGGTGTGCGATTGGTTATAATTGACAGTTCGCTTGGCTGGCTTGGGCAGTGCAGCTCAACTTGGCTCCAAGTCCGATTCCGGGCTCAGCTTGGCGACGTGCTTGGCCAAGCACCACCAGAGCACCAGAAGGCACCACCAAGCACCAAGCACCAAGCACCGAGCACCGAGCACCACCAACATTCAACGTGTGTTACGTTTCTAGCCAGTTAATTGCCAGGCGAGCTTACGTTGATTTACTAGTTGATTTTTATACGAAACTGTCGTATTTAAGTTATAATTATGAAACAACATGGCTGCGTATCCGTGTCCGTGTCTGCATCTTTTGCAGTCAGCGATTTTCACACATGAACCGTTCGCTTTCTGGGCCACAGCCACATCAGTTGACCAACTTTGACTCCGATACGTTTTGGGCCACCGACGAGTCACATTGGATTTATGGCATTGCGCATACGCCGTGGGGGCAGTCGTCGCTCGGAATCGGTCGGAATCGCCACCATTATAGCGTACCCTCCGCCAGCCACTCTGGCTTTTTGTTTCAGCCATTTTTCACACTCTGCGGGCGTCTTTTGAACCTTGAAATAAAAGTTTTCCCACACTGCACACTGCAAAACATTTCGATTTTCCTTTTGGCGGCTGGCGGCTGGCGGCTGGCGGTTGGCCTACCTTACCTTACCTTACCTTACCATACCTGCTAATCCAGCGCCCGATTCCCAGCCAGCCCAAAATGGTAACAGACGTAGACTCCGTGGCAGCAGGGAAAAAACTAATGAGCAACAACACAGCGAATGCAAACTGCACCTGCCAAAGGAGCCAGCTAAAATAAGCCCAGTAAAGTCAACAATGTCTGGGCTGGCGAATCTGAAATGCCCTCTAGTTGGGCAGATCAATGAATTGATATGGTGATTAAAAACTGCTGAAAACAGGGTACTGTTGAGTCGGAAAATCCTAAATCTATCTTATTATTCATACTGATAAACAAAAGCTTATGCAGCCCACCATTCGAACAATACACTTAATGAAAAATCGATCCACCACTATTCTGATAACTAAATGGCCGTTTAAGTTGCCTTACAAACGCGTAGTACTTTCCCATCCCAAAGGGTATTCTCAGGCAGCGAGGGCTGCCCACAAGAAAATCAGCAAACAGCATCGCAAGACGTTG